AATATAAGAAATAAATATAATATATTAAAATTTAATACATGTGTCGATCTTTTTTCCTTCCTTTCTTTCTTTCTTTCTTTCTTTTTTTTTTTTTATCCCTGCAGCTCAAGGAATGGCCCCGTCAGCTATCCAGGAGGTTTGAATACAACATCTATCCAATCACGTTTTCGGTCGGCAATGCTCAGGAATGGAAGAAATTATTCAAGCCCTGCGCAGCTCAGAGACTTTTCCTTCCGGTAAGTCGTAATATCTCATTCAGATGTTTCATGTCCTTTCCGCATCTGGTCCGTTTCTGTGCTTCTTATGCATTTTTCAGTCTCCTTCCAGCCAGGAATTCATTTTATGTCTTATTTAAACTCTCCTGGCCGGCACATGTTTTTGTGCTTAAAATGATCATTTCCTGTGCAACGTGCACTGTTTGCAGAGCGGATTTAAAGTTTGAGCAGACGGACGTACACAGTAATGTTGGTTATAACTTACTTTCTGCTGTAAATGATAAGGAGTTTATACATCGATCAGCCATAACATGTGTGCACCCGCCTAATATTGAAGAGGTCGCCATTTTGCCGCCAAAACAGCCCTGACCCCTCCAGCCATGGACTCCACTAGACCTCTGAAGGTATGCTGTGGTATCTGGAACCAAGCCATCAGTAGCAGATCTTTTAAGTCCTGTAAGTTGTGAGGTGGGACCTCCGTGGATCGGACTTGTTTTTCCAGCACATCCCACTGATGCTCGATTGGATTGAGATCCTGTGAATTTAGAGGCTAAGTCAACACCGTAAGCTCATTGTTGTGTTCCTCAAACCATTTTTGCAGTGTGGCAGGGCGCGTTGTCCTGCTGAAAGAGGCCACTGCCATTGGGGAATACTGTTTCCATTAAGGGGTGTACTTGGTCAGCAACAATGTTTAAGTGGGTGGTATGTGTCAAAGTAACATCCACATGAATGGCAGGACCCAAGGTTTCCCAGCAGAACATTGCCCAAAGCATCACACTGCCTCTGCCTGCTTGACTTCTTCCCATAGTGCATGCTGGTGCAATCTCTTCCCCAGGTAAGTGACACACACGCAGCCGGCCATCCACATGATGTAAAAGAAAACGTGATTCATCAGACCAGGCCACCTTCTTCCATTGCTCTGTGGTCCAGTTTTGATGCTCACGTGCCCATTGGAGGTGCTTTTGGTGGTGGACACGGGTCAGCATGGGCCCCCCTGACTAGTCTGCAGCTATGCAGCCCCATACACAACAAACTGCGATGCTCTGTGTGTTCAAGAGTCCATGAACCCATCACACTCCTGACCGCTTACTCCAAACAAGACAAGATGGGTGCAGCGGTGATCAACGGATGGCAGCCGTCATAAACATAAGTAGAAACAGAGACACCGAAACTCCAATTGCGAATGCATAAACGTCTATTTATTGACGAGAGGCAGCAAATCTCAGTTAATGCAACAAACGTTTCGGGGTCCTCAGGCCTTTCTATCAGAACCAGCATTAAAGGAGAACTATGGGGTTCTATCTTTTCTTTATTATTGCATTCCTTAGGCTAAATAAGTAAATTGTGTAATTTACTCCTATTAGCCAAAATACACCCTAAGCTGGTAAACCCTTCATTAAGATGGTGGGCGGGGCTGCCCTGCAGTAATTCCTCTCCACTACAAGATGTTGCCAGTCTTCCAGATTAAATGACACACTTTTTTTTACCCTATCTGGGAATTGAGGGCGTCGTGGGCCTGCCCCCTAAGTGGCATCACTACAGCTCCCTGCACTCGCAGTACAATGCTGCAGAGCACATCATATCACTGGAAAAGAAGCCAATATAACCATACATGTCACAGGGCCGGATTGGAGACATCTGAAAGAAAGGTAAGTATGCAAAAAAGAGCAAAAATGAAATGCTGGGGTGCATCCAGAGAGAGAGAGAGCGCTGAAGTCTAGTGGGCGGAATGTATATTTTCTTTCTTTCTACATGTATTATGTTTAGAACTAAATAATACAATTCAGAAACATGTTGTTTTAAAGTAAACGCAATCACAGAAATCTCTGAACATGTTTTTGTAATAGCAAAAGCAATTTTCAATCTTATTAAACCATTCTTATGAATACCTGGTGATCCTGCAGGGTGACACACAGGAGCGGTTGTCCGCTCCTGTAAAGTTGCACTTTAATGTGCATTGTTCAGACTTTTGCCATGGCCACACACTACGAAACCGCTTGGCCTGCAAAATAGTCCAAGCGCGATTTGTTGACGGATTCCACATGCTCGTGGCTATAGTAATAGCCTCAAACGAGCAGATTCCATGCAGATGAAAGATTCCAAGCGTCTGCGTGCTGCGCGGTCTTCCACACGGAAAACCGCCTGGGAAATGCAAACTCTATATGCCTGCCGCATTTTAACTTTTATATACAAGTGACCCTGTGCTGACAGGTTCGCTTTAACATTGCTGCCCCGAATTTCCAATCCTGTACCTTTAGGGCCTTTTCACACCGGCGGGCGTGCATTATGGCATGCATTGTACACCCGTGCTGCGATACGTTGTAACAGCACGTTACAGTGTTTACATTCTTTTTAACATTATTGTTACTTTGTAACAGAAAACATCCACACCAGCGCGTTGCAGTGCACCGGTGTATGTTATTGTGCATGGCATATAAATGCTGCGCGGTGTGAACAGGAGGAATAGGAAAAAATTGCTTTGCATGTGTCCTGGCGTTGAGCCTGTGTTGACCAATGCAGATCCAACGCAGGTCAATGGACATGGTGTGAACGGGCCCTTATACTACATAAAGCTGTGGCAGGAAGGAAAGTAACCCTGAACCCGTGTGAAAACATGCAGAGTGACTGTGTTATGTGCTGTGTGTAGTAATCTTCTCGGTAATTCCCAGACGGAGGGGAGGCCCCCCCCCCAAACACCGGAGGCCAGCCTGGAGGGAAGCGAGCTGTCACACCTGTTCTCATAGAGCAGCCCAGCATTGCAAATCCCTCTGGTCTCTCATAGCTTTACACTGCATTAGATTCCGCTACAGATTAAAGGGACGGTATAGCCAAAAGCCATATTTCAGTAACAGGTGGCGAATGTTGAGCTGAGCCCCCCACTGGCCTATTACATTTCTCAGGGACCCAAGTGAGGGGATCTTTCTGACACAAGTCTTTCCTGCATGGCCCCACACACACACACACAGGCGCGTGAGGCTGTCGAGCGTAAATTAAAGACGTATTGCAGAGGTAGCCAATCTCAGCACTCCAGCTGTTGTGGAACTACAAGACCCATGAGGCATTGTAAGACTCCGATAGCAACAGGCATGACTCCCAGAGGCATGATGGGATTTGTAATTTTACCACCGCTGGAGTGCCGAGGTTGCCTTTCCATGACGCACTGTGCAGCATACAGCGCAGGCGCAGCCAGGACAGTGAAGACTTGCAGCGCTCTTTTTTTTTTAAGTGCACTTATCCTTTTAAAGGGTATTTCCACTTTTGCAGCCATATTTGAATCTACATCCAGCTTCTAGTGGTTAGAATAGATGCATGTGAGCTGATAAGAAACAGACAGAGGGACAGTTTTCTTTTTTTTTAAAGTGTTTTTCCACTTTTGCAGCCAAATTGAGGTATCACCCACTTTTATATCTGTTACATGATCCCATTCACATGGCATAACTTAAAAAAATAAAAGCTGCAGCTTGCCTTTTTTTTTTTTGATGCTCTTTCTGCTAATTCCAGGACTGAAAAATCCTGTTTAGTTCTCACTGTCTGGGGGGTTGGGAGGGGAGTTTTGTTTCAAATAATGAACACTGTACTGTACTGGCAGATTTTGT